TCTTCTTCACTTCTGACACTAGGAGACCATTAGCTGCATCTTAGATGGCCGCTTGAAAGTTTTTAAGACTCCAGTCTCTGCTCACCAATGTAGGATGGGGAACAAGGGTTTTATGTATTTTGTTATGTCAGTAGAGTCTGGTGTTCCCCAGTACTATGGTCTTGAGATGGTAGATCTATTGGATCTCTCTCCCATAGTGTCTGGGTGTCTGTGAGGGATTACTCTGTGTCTGTCTTCTATTGTTTCTGTGAGGATTGCAGGTATTTTGTATCACAGGTGTCTGTCTGTGCAAGATTAGCCTCAGCTGAATCTATCCTTGGTCTAGAGAGTATACACCTGTTCACTGACTCCCATGTGATCCTCTCAGGTGTTTATGTGTTTATCTGTAGCCTGGTGTTTGGTGTTAATGGCAGTGCAGTATTGTGGACACATTGATTGGTATTCGCATTTGTCTTCTATCTCTTATGTGCACAATTAGGTGTCCTCCCATTTCCTAATGTTATCATGGTGGTCCCAGACTCTTTCTGTATATCCCTCCCCTTATCCATGTTAGTGTGTGGGCCCCAACTAGCCTGAAATTAATCCCTCCCTTTCCCACCCCGTCCTGGTAACCTACAAAGTGAGTTCCCTTTTCCAAGCAAACCCTTCTTTGTATTTTTACAGTAATGGGCTCATACAGACATGTCTTTCTGCAGTCGACTAATTTCACTCAGCATAATTTCCTTCAGGTTCATCCACATTGTGAGATGATTCGCATATCCCTCTCATTGTTCTTTAACGTTGTATAGTATTCCATTGTGTGCATGTACCATAATTTGGTTATCCATTCATCTGTTGATGGGCATTTAGGTTTTTTCCATTTCTTTGCTATGGTGAATTGTGCTGTGGTGAACATAGGTATACATATGTCTGTTCATGCACTATCACTCACCTCTTTAGCATATTCCTAGTAATGGACTTACTGGGTCAAATGATACTTTTATTTGCAGTTTTTTAAGGAAATACCATACTATTTGCTACAATGTTTGTGCCATTTTACAATCCCATCAGCAGTGCACAAGAGTTCCAATCTCTCCACAACCTCACCAGCATTTGTTATTTTTTGACTTGTTGAACTTTGCTATTATTGCTGGGGTGAGCTGATATCTCATTGTTGTTTTGATTTGCATCTCTCTAATGATTAATGAGCTCTGGTAGCATGGTGGCTAAGACACTTCCCTGCTAACCAGACGGCTGGCGGTTCAAACCCACCAGCCACTCCTCGGAAGGAAGGTTGGGCAATCCTACTTCCATAGTGATACTGCCTC